ATGATTTTTTTTTAAACCGCGCCTATCGATGAACTAGAACATTCATGAAGAAATAAATAGAGGGTATTCAATGTTTTGTAGTTGAATATGGAATTTTATTTTATTTCACAAGTGCCAGTGGGACAGGATTTTTTTTTATTTTCACGAGTGCGACGCACGAGTGAAAATGTTAAAAAACAAAATCCTGTCTCACGAGTTCATGTCGAAAATGTAATCATCTTAAATTCTAGAAACTGACTAGCTGTTAATATCAATGATGTAAAGTTTCTTGATAAGTTTCGGTTCTTTTTGAAATTTGCATATCGTTATAGAATTAAAATTGATTTTTAGCGACACGCAATGATTTCGCATGAAAGGGAAGAATCGTGCTATTTCTTTGCACGAAGTGATTTGATTTCTTTTTATATATATACATGTAGGTTAAAAAGCTTTTTTTAAAACATCCATCGCATTCTCTTTGGAACTCTTTACAGCTGAAAATCCATCTTGAAATTGTAAATTTTAAAAATGAACGACATGAAGATTTGCAGTTGAATTCGTTTTTCAACATTACATTATTTCCTTATCGAATACATACATGTACATGTACAATATATACACATGTATAGTAGATAAATATTTACAAAACCATGTGTGTATGTTAATTGAGACTTAGAATTAAAATAAATCATATAATTAAAGTCAAGATGTTATAACGGTATATTTTTAAGTGACATAAAAAAATTTAATTGGTCATGTTTTCGTAGAATGACTGCATGACTATCATTGTTTACATAACAATGTGCGCAAAAATGAAAGTAGATTTAACATTACATGCCCATTGATTGTCAAGACATCTTCATTTAATTCACGTAAAGTACAACGGCTATAACTTTAATATTGCAAGTTTTTTTTAACACAAAATTGTTTTCATTTAAGTACTTACGTTCAACTATTGTTTTGTATCTTGTGCATTGTGTCATGTGTGAATCTTACGTTTATCCTCGTTTGACGTCATCAATACATAAGGTAGGTAACTCTCCCGCAAGAGGGCGTGACTTTTTGGAATCGTGTATAACATACTCTGTACTATATAGAGTTTGGTCCCATCGATGGACAGTCACGTGATGAAAGCATAGTAGGTACACGGAATGTAGGTCAATAACAAATTTCAAAATCGCAAGGGCATACCCTAATTGAAATTAAAAATTAAAGTTATTAATTGTTTCTGTAGACCTTGTAGTTTCTGAAAAGTGCTGCTGCTTTGAATAGAATTCGGGTTTTAATACTTAAATGTTTAAGTAAATAGGCCAATGTCGAAATATGTTGTAATTTTACCAAATATTTTGTGTACTTATAAAATCACGGCCTCGATTTAAAGAAAGCAGCAGCACTTTTCAAGTTAAGGAATATAGCCTTTATCTAAATTTAAAAAATCGTTCAGATCTATGCAGCGTATGCCCTTGCGAAAGTACGATTTTGTGAGACATCTCGTTGTAAAATATACGTAACCTGTACATAAAACACGACATAATTAATAAAATACATTCTCTTTGTAGTTAATTAACAATCGCACTTAACAAAGGCAATACCTTGGTATTAATCGACTTTTTAAAACCTTTAAATAATATACCGTATAATAATAAAACGCATTTTTCATTGTTAAAAAATCCTCAATCTGCCTCTCACAGCACATGTAATACGTCATGTTTACCAAAATGACGTCATGTTTACATGTTCATCGCGATCAGTGCATTGTCTATAACCAGCTACATGGGATTTAACTAGCAAGTTTTTTTTAATGCATTGATAAGTTTTATTGTTGTTTATTATGCTAATACAGTTAAAAGTTGCAAATTATTTCAATTTCGGGTATTATAAGAAATACATAAAAGTCATATTTTTGTGTTACGTCACAGTAAACTTTTCCTGTATAAATTAGGCCCCGCCCCCTTATTCAAGCCTTAACAATGCTGCGTATTTTAAACATTATTTAATCTAAAACAGTAAAATTCAACTAGTTATACTATGTAAATCTATTGGATCTATTATTGAGAGATTTGGTTGATTAATTTATGAAACTGTCGTTTTTAATTGTTGGTTTTATTTTTCTCACGCATGCTGTATTATATGTATTGTACATAATTTATGGTTGTATTTTCTCTATACTGTTTTACAGTTTAAGAGAATAAACTATTGAAACTGAATAAAAATCAGAATACTAGTATTTTGCTTTTTCCACCATATATCATTAACATTCAAGTCAAGTTCATTTTACCTTTTCCATGCCCATACACAAAATTCTGGATAATAAGGTACATTCTGAACAATATATTCTTTGTCATAATCTAAATGTAACTTTTTTATGCATTCTATTATTCCTAATAATTGTGTAAAAGGAGGTTTTAAATCATATTGTGAAAAAAAAACTGTTCATAGTTCATCATTGTACCGTCACTATTTAAAAATCTAATAAACGATGCACACCATTGACAACCCATAGTTTGTAGTGAACATGTTTGTTGTTCATAAAAATAGCATGATTTAACCACACAAGTCTACGAATCGAGTTTTGACAGTTAATATATTTACTTAGCTCAAAAAATGCCAAGAAAAAAACCCTCCCAAAACAGGTTTTTAAATACTATTGACAAGTTATTTAGTTTTTGTCTTCCGAAAAGCACAATATTTGGTACATTTGGAAGAGTATACTTATAAGCAAATCTTTCCAACTTGACAGACAAGTATCATTAAAAAGTCTACAAATCTATGTATTTTTAGGCTTTTACAGAAAAAAATCAAGACATATCTTTCTTAACCCTCCATTTTCATAACTTTGAATGATATCTTTTTTGTTACTCCCGAAGTTTTATAATTCCATATAATAAAAAAAATTGTTTCGATTTCCTTTATCTTTTTTACCCGGGAGGATTTGGAAGACTAATTAGTAGATGTGTGATCTTTGGAAGAATCAAAGATTCAATTACAGTAATATAATATGCCCTGCTGTAGACAACATTCTTCAAGACCATGACTTAGTTAGTGATTGTATTTCACTCATTTTTGGATTGAAATTCAACTCGTACATATCTTAATTATCCAAATTCACACAGTATGTAACAGCAAAAATTGTAAATAGGTCTTGGGACCATTGAAAATTTTCGATATCTGTAAGAAATTGATGAGGATCCTATTTTCACACATTTAGTTTTTTCATAATTTCATCACATTTTTATCAAACTATTTTAAGTGTCAATTAGTGGTTTTGACAAATGTAAGATTTTCTTACCAATAAGTATTTACATATATATCAATATATGTAGGTGAAATGCGATATTCTTAAACCCCTTGGATTCGTATCACATAATTTTAATGCTAGTAGTGATCATTTAAAAAAAAACAACTAAGTACAATGATTAGGAACCTTTGAAAAATGCAGCATTAACAATTCATGGATTCATTACTTTCCTTTATACTTGAAAAGCATTGCTGTATTTGGGTAGGATTCCAGTATGGTTTCTGACTAGATGAAATATTTAATGTATATTTGCTGATATTCGGATGAAAGAGATTTAAAAGACCATATATTTATTTCACAACTTTAAAGAGAAATGGTAAGCTGCGTTTGAAAAATAGCAAGGGCTATATTTTTTTTAAAAAATGGTGGTGCATGGTAATATCTTCTTTTCTGCCTCTCAGAATTATTATAGAACAATGCATTTAGTTGTAATTTTTACAAAGACTTGAAGAATTTTTCAAATGTTAACTATATTAATGATATGGTTCTAAACCTTTAAAAGATATCAAACAAATATGATTTTCCAAACAAAATACAATTATGTTAAGCTTTTAAGGGCTTCCAGTCGAAGTATACATATGAGCCAAAATCCATAGAAAGTGTTTTTACTCTCTTACATGTTTGAAATGGTGAAAACTTTTTGTTTTTGTATCATTTTGTACTTCTATACGAATTCTTACCATATATTAAAATAAGAAAAAATTAAAAAATAATGCGCAACATGAAAATTAATTCAAATACTATAGTATCCTAAAACTTTTAACAAAATAGAGAAAATTCGGATTGGCTAAAATCCATTTTTTTTTACATTTTGAGTCAATGTGGCAATATCTTATTGCCCTTATTTTTTTACGGAAAAAGAAAAACATTTAATTTTTTGAATTGGAAGACCGTATCGCATGATTGGAAGCAATCATTTTTATTCTTAATGTCCAGGAAAAGGTAATGACCTTCACCTGACCTTGACTCAAATATAAAACAGTCAAAACTTGTCTAATTGATAGTTACCATTACTTAGAAATTATTTTCGTCTTGATTCTGTGAAAATTTTATTAATTTTTAAATACAAGAAAAGCAGTTTTTTGTGAGAAGAATCCTACTTTAAGCGATCAGACAGTCATTTTCCAATGACCGCCGAAAAATGGCTGAAATATTGCCGACTCAGCGTAAAACAATAAAAATCCATCCATCCAATGACCATGATAGATTTCGACAAACACATTAATGATATTTGGAATCTACAATTATTATTTTTTTGGTATGTGGTTTGCTACATGTACTATTGATATTCGTTTATTGACATAGCGCAATAGTTAAAGCGTCTGCTCACCAGATTCTGATTCCCACGGTGGGACATGGAGATTGGTCCTTTGGATAAGACTGTAAAATAAAAACCGAACCCGCGTGTCGCACAAGGTACTGACACACAAAAAGATTGTTTTTTTTTTATTCATTGAACCTCAGTGTCCAGGATTGATATAAATTTACAATCCTTCACCGACAAGTTTCTAATTCTTCAAAAGAGGTATTAGAAAAAAACAAAAGAAACAAATAAGCAAACATCATTTGTTAAATTTTAAGCAAAATCCACTCATTGTAGTAATACAACCATTCAAAGATATTACTGTTACAAAATTTTATCTTTATATGACAAAGATTATTAACGACTAAAATAATTTTGAGTTACCTCTAGCCCCGATGTAGATTTATGCGCCATCTTGTTATCTAGGGCGGTAGTGAATTTAAATAAAAGAACCGTGTTTAGGAAGACACGTAGGAACGATAACTTATCACAGGGGTCCAGAGTTATCTCCCTTTACTGACACCTGCCAGCTGCAGTGTTAAAGAGCACAGGACGCATAGAGACACGTTAGTCCCACCAACATCGCGGACCGAATGATAGATTAAAATTTGATTGTTACGCAAAAAAATTACTTGGACAAAATGTTTCCATTACAAGTCTTTGGATTACTAAATATATTTCTCACTTGTACATGTAAGTAGTTCTTTGCTCATTTCAAATTTCATTAAAGGCTTAAAATGAGGAATAATTTGATGACAAAGAATAAAAATTTTAATAGATTGTAAGGCAAAGCAAAACAATTGAAGTATATATTGAACTATAATTTTCTCTGGATCTTTGAATATTGACTGATCAGCAGACAAAAGTTTAATCTGCAACAAAACCTGGTCTTAGATACAACATTCAGTAACATAAAATTATTAATTAATTCATTTTTTTTCTAAGCTGGATATTATCTTTGTCCCCAGAACGTGCAGTGTCCGCCCGGATGTACTAAAATAGACACAAGAGGATGTAAACTCTGCGCATGCGGGCCTGGTGAGTAGAACATTACCTTAGACAGGATAGATTCTGAAGAAGAATTATGTTTGGTTAACTGAAACACAACTATAATGCTTTTATTGAAATTAATTTTGAAAATTGTATTCGTCGATGAGAAAATAAAATGCTAACAAAATATATTCAATGGGATTACATTTTGGGCCCATATTTAAAAAAATTCTGAGGATTTTTTCAATAAGGAAGAAACAATATTCCTTTATCAACAAATTTGAGAGATGGGCAAAAGGTAACAGAAATACATTCATGCACTTGAAATAAATTTATTACAAATTATAAGAAATTATGATTAAAATTGTTAAAAAAGAGTTAGTTAATGATTGATCGATCATCGATCATGAGAAGAAAGCAAACAATCATCTAATGTGTCATATGCAATACAGATCATTCACAAGCCTCTTCAAAGATGGCTTCTTTAATGGATACCATGTGTTTCGGAATAAGGAGCACGCTTTTAAAAAGAACAATATACAAAAAATAAAGACATGTCTTTTTAGGTATGTTCCATCCAGGAGGATATGTAGGAATGCCTAAAGGTAGGGTTTTTTTGTACTCACTTTTTTGAAAACAATTCACGAAAGTAGTATTTCTTGCTTACAGTAGTGTAAAACTCGTGACCAATAAATTGTTCATTGATTTGAACTTGTTTTCAAAAAAGTACCTTCGATATGTGAATGAATATAGAGTCAAAAATTCAAAACCATGTGAATGAATGAAAAGTAAAAGAATATGGTTATAACTCAAAATTTAGTCATACCATTTAATGAGTATTTATTTATGATTTTTTTCTATTCAATGTTTACAGGAATGATGGGTGGTTTCGGGGGATTCCAGCCCGGATCTATGGGGGGAGGAAGTCCTTTCGGTGGTATGCAGGTATAATGCTTTTATAAAGATTGTGTTTTTCTATCACTTGGCTTTTTTATTTTCCAGGAGTCTGTAATTTAAGCCCAGGTCACAAATCACATATTTGTTTGTGACTTTTCTACATAGAAAAAAAAAACCCGAAAGAAACTTATTTTTTCTAAGAAAGTAATTTTTCCACATACAATAATTGCAATTTCAATAAAAATAACATATTTAATGATTTTCAAATCCATACCCTTTAGAACGTGCTGTACATGTATAGAATGGCTTTACAGATGTGTTTAACACTCTTACAGGGCGCTAAACACGTGACTGAGCGGCCATTGAAGCAGTGCCCCGGCACCATGCTGTGCATGATGACCTGTAAAGGTCACTACACTCTCGGTGACGTAGGCAGTAATGGCTGTCGATCATGCACATGCCCCACCCACCACGAAACGTCATCACATGGTAATTTACACAACGTATTTGCTAACCTATGCATTTGAGCATACGTGTGATTTTTTATCATTATAATACATATCACTTTAAAAAAAAAAACAGATTTGTAGACTTGTTTACACGAATTGGCTTTTTCTTTGACGCATGCATATTTAAGGGGGATGTACGGCCACCTTCAGTGCAGTAAGAACAAAATGTAAACATTTCTTCAAATGGCTAAAATACATTATGTTTTGATCAAATTTGAAGTCCTAATGATAAAGATACAATAAATATGCATAACTGAATGCATATTGTGCATGTATAATCTATACTCATGCAGAAAAATGCTTTTGATATGCTCTTTAGAACTGCGCAACTACAGAATTCAGCAGAGCCTTAAAAAATCCAAAAAAATATGCAAAGCGTGCATTAATGTTCTCTCTACAACCATTTGTCAAGAAAATGTCTAAATTTTGCACTTTTCAATGGTAATTTCAAGTTCAAAACATGGTACTGTTGTCTTCAAAATGAGTGTAAAAAACCATGAAAGTAGTTCATGGATAACAGCACGTGGTCTATTTTTAGCACAGAATTTTGTTTTCCAGACCTCTTCTTAATACGGAGGCACATAATAATCTTAAAAAGTAGAGGAGAATTACAGTTGCAAAATGTTTCAAATGATAAGCACACTTTTAAAAGAGGAAATGTGTTATAGTGTGGCTTAAAGTAATTAGTATTATTATCGAACAGTTGTTAAATACTTGTTGGTATAAAAAAAAATTCTTAAACTCTTTGATTCCAGATAAGGAAAAATGAGTGCGATCAAATTTAAAAAGTCTGCCACAGATAACTTATTTTATCTTTCAAATGAAACACAGAGAAAATTGGACCGGTCGGCATAGGATGCTCACTCCTCCATAGCACCTGATCCCACCTCTGATGTTTCGGGGTCCGTGTTTGCTCTGTTCTTATTTTGTATTGTTTTTTTGGACTTTGAGACTGAATACTGTTTGTTATCTCCCTATATTCCTTCTAAACACAAAATCGATATGAATGACCTTGTTTTAATACCTACTAGTATACTGTGTCAGAAAAACATTTACAAATACAAATTTCTTCACATGCATCGAAGTACCATTTGAATAGGAATGAAATCATTCAGCGTGGGTTAGGAGATTTACTGAATGAAAAATACCTTTTTTTCTATTTGCCCATATTGTCAAAATTACAATTTTACAGAGTAAAGAAAAAAAATCAACATGATTAATTATTTTAGACCATCTTTAAAATGACGTTTGGTGGTCCTCCCAACTCAGACAAAAATTATTGGGTCCGTATTTATAGGTGAGAAAAAAACTTCCTCAAAATTTAAACATATTTGTTGACGAAAAAAAGGATAAAAAATATCATGGAATGTAAAAAAAAAATTGAGTCGGGTCATTTCTGGAAGTAGGTTGGGAGAAAGGGCAACCAAATATTTTTATAAAACGTGGTCTTAACAATATAAGGCTATAGTACATGTTCCATCACATACTTAGTAATGCAAAATTTCTGAAGCATTGGCACTATTCTGAAAAACAAACCGTCATAGAGTTTTGGGGGGGGGGGGGGTTAGCCTCTCACGCTTTTTTTTTGCGAAGATAGACATAGCATAATGCAATGGACCTTTCTTTGCAAACATTGTGCTCGCTTCTAAATTTCAAAGAAACAACTCAGTGTATTTTCCCAAACTTCGTATGTTAGTGAGAGCTTACAACATGGTCAGCATAATGAGACGTGATGTGTTTTTTGTCCAAACATTACTCCATACAATGTGTGGGTCATCGCAAACAATCTAGCTATTTATGTGAGGTGTCTGAAGGAAATCCTATAACTGACTATTTTTTCTATCTAACTGCTAAAAAACATTGACAGGTGTACCAACTTTTCGAATGTAATACATTTAATTACAATTTGTTTTTCATGCACAGTATATCGTTTAACATTTTTAAATTAAAAGCTAAGCATCCTCCTTGCAGAGCCCCATTTGAAAATAACTTCTATCGCCAAAGAAAAGAGACCGGCCGTAAACACATATGTTTAGGACATTTTTAATCTTTTTTCTTTAGTTTTGGAGAAACCAACAAATTATCAAGACTTGTTCCATGAAAAATTAAATATGATCATGGTAATAAACGAATCTATTCACATTAGATATATGCACATGCCAACCACGTGCTCAGTGGAATAATATGAGCGAGGAAACTCGAGCTTTAAACAGAACAGTTTTTCCCGATTTGCTGGTTTGGGGTTAAAATTGCATTTTTTCATTAATCAGACGGTGCGATGCAACAAATAAAAGTAGTAAGTTATATAACCTTAGGATTATTACTTAGTAATTTCTTGTTTTGATGTTGTTATGGACGCATTTATTCTAAATTCAATGTTTTATTTAACTCTGTGTGACAGAGGAATGGCGGACGCAATAAACATATGACCTCAAGAAGACCCCCACATGAAAAATGAAATTTACAAGAATTATGGATAATAACAAGAAAAAAGCGAAACAAATGGTTGTAGCCATATTATCAATGAACCGAACTGACATCATTTTCGATGCATTTATCATCTCAAGAATGCTGTAGCTGCGCAGTTCTAACCTGATTAATTTCCTCCTAATTAAAACAAAATAAACTCAATTATTTACTAATTTTGGTCTCTAACAGTAGGTTATGAGTACATTAGCACTTTGAGTAACTTTGAGCTAGTTTGGTAGAGTATTAAGAGTATTCTTGGTATTTCTTATTTTACACATGACTCGATCAAATATGGCTTGTACATCCCCCTTAAACAGTGATGGTGGTACAAACGTCGTCTCACTCTACCTCTCACGCATCTTCACACCACGACTGCGCGGGAACTAAACTGTGTATGATGACCTGCCACACCAGATATATGCTAGGAGAGAGGGGTTCCGATGGATGCCAGTCCTGCACATGTCTTCCAGGTAATTACACGTTTAATATAGAGGAAGCAAAAGAATAGCTTTTTCTTAATTTTCACAATGTATTATCACAAAAAATCACAAACCTTGGGTTAGAATTAAAATATAAAAAAGACTCTTAGAAACTCAAATGCGTAATTATTTACTAGATAGTAATATTTACAACTTAGAGGACATCCGATGGGTTTTGCAAATAACAAACAGATTATCTTAACGGGATCAAGAGTTTCTCAATTTAAATTTCTTACTAGTCAAGGCTCTGAATCTCTTCCGTTCTTTTTACTGTTTATCGTATATATAATTCTCAAGATAATTCAGAAAAGAAATACATCGTACACATTATTTCCTGATTATGACAACGAGCACACGGCGGGTGTGACCGGTCGGCAGGGGATGCTCACTCCTCCATGGCACCTGATCCCACCTCTGATGTTTCGGAGGTCCGTGTTTGCTCTGCACTTATTTTGTATATTTGTTTAATGGACGTTGAGATTGAATACTGTTCGTTATTTCCATATCCTTCATGCAACCTATTTTAAGACAAACCCTACTGATTTCTAACAACAGCCCCCACCGAGGCCCCGAAGCCCGCCCCCACCAAGTCATGCATGTCAACCGTACTGTGTATGCTGTCCTGTAAGACTGGTTATTCACTGGGTTCAACTGGCAGTGACGGCTGTCAAACTTGCACGTGTATTGCACGTGAGTATTTTTCGCTTGATTTGGCTATGGAGTGTAACTTACTTTCATGGAGAGCTATTGTTATGCTTTTACAGCAAATCTAGTTTCAGGTTTGTAATGCTTTTTCTTTGTATGATATTCTAGTTATGTTTAATCTATCTAAAGCAAATTTATTTAATCTTTGACATGCGCATGCTCGGAGCCAAAAAACTTTTTTTTATATATTTATAGCACCGACCCGACCTCCTACAACCCCGGCACCAAAGGTCATGACATGCACTCACACTATAGAATGTATGCTAAACTGTAAACAAGGCTACACGTTAGGAAACACCGGAACTGATGGCTGTCCACAATGCACATGCGTAGTTCGTAAGGAAGTCCCTAAAAATAATATTTTGTTTTCTCACACATGTAGATAAAAAAAGCAAAATAAAGAAAATACGCATTCCTTATTACATTAATCATTAACTTTTGTCGGTATATAAATATCATTTGAAGTTGTTTAAAGGATTTACCATTGTGTATGTTACATTTTGTAATGATTGAATTGGAGTCGTCAATGTCATATAGTGAAGGTTGACCTTCATCAATATCAGTTTTGCTCGAAGGATAACGCTATTTCTGTACCTTATATGAAACTGTTTGAGAAGCAATTAACCTTCATGTTATAATTCTTTTATGTCCTTGACAGCTACTAAAGTGGTACAAGTGGTGGAGGTATTGACCTGCTCTAAGAATATAGAATGTAACTCAGGTTGTGGGGCCGGGTATAAGTGCGGACATGACGGATGTCCGACGTGCGACTGTATCAAACCAGCGAGTAAGTCTAACAGACAAATCACATTATCATGAAGTTTTTACGTAAAATTATATATTTCTGATTATTCAGTCTAATGACTTGGCCATCTATTGCATGTGTACGTTTGTTTATTTTTCGGCCTCGTTTTTGGTGCAGTTTTGATATGACGTTTGTCTTGATGACGTTTACTTACTATGACGTCATTACAGCTGTGGGTCTGACGGTTGTGGAGGTGGTGAAACAGCCTGTACGTTGTACAACCGCCTTCTCGTGTCCCGCCTCCTGTGAACTCGGATACAAGTGTGGATCAGATGGGTGCCCCACGTGCGAGTGTTTGATTGCTGTACAAACAGGTATGTGTACGTAGACAATAAATTATCCAAGGGCAATATCTAGATTCTGTGAATACGGTTAGGGATTTAAAATACCCACCTTATGAGAGATCACGCCATCAATGTCGTAAGCAACTTACTATCAGCAATACTTTTTTATTGGAAAAGTCAATACTATATGTAAATCAATTTTTATATTGCTTCTGCGTTATTTTTCAAGTATTTTATATGTTGAATCTCTGTGATCTCTGCTTGTCATCAGTTTAGTAAAACAAGTAGAGCACCATGGTATCAAACATCAAATATCATTGTTAGTGGCAATGCACCTTTCTTTATTTTAAACTTTTCATTTATCATAAAATTCTGAATTTTCATCCAGCGTAGGTGATAGTCCATAGTTAAACCATGATTGGCTTTGCTATTTTTTTCAAAATCTATGTGAATGTTTAAAATGTTCACCCACTAATTGAATCTGCTTGAATGATATGCAGAAGATAGGAGAATAACTGTTTGGCTAAAAAAACATGCTCTGATTTCTAACACCGAATAAACAGTTCCTCAGACGACATCTGAGCCTTGTCACGACTGTGATGGCGGGGTAGCAGTCCCACAGCAAGTACAAACAGGTCACTGTACGGACTGTGATACAGGTCACGAACAAATAATGCCTCATGTCTCTACTGGCCAAACTTGTGACAATGGATGCGATAACTCGGGACACTCAAGTGGAGGTGCGCCATCTACAACAGGGGGGTCAGGTGGAATGCCTTCAGGCTTCAAGCCAGGGTCAGGCACAGGAAACGGAGGAGGAATGCCTTCAGGCTTCAAACCAGGGTCAGGAAGCGGAAACGGAGGAGGAATGCCTTCAGGCTTCAAACCAGGGTCAGGAAGCGGAAACGGAGGAGGAATGCCTTCAAGCTTCAAGCCAGGATCAGGCACAGGAAGCGGAGGAGGAATGCCTTCAGGTTTCAAGCCAGGGTCAGGAAGCGGAACTGCGAGCGGATCTGGTATGGCTTCTCCCTTTAATCCAAACACAAATGGGGGCATGACAGGAGGTTCTGGATCAGGAAGTAGTGGATCGGGTATTCCCTCTCCTTTCAATCCCGGCACGAACGGGGGTACGGATGGTGGTTCAGGTATGCCTTCGCCATTTAATCCGAACTTAAATGGAGGAACAGGAACAGACTCGGGTATGCCCTCTCCTTTCAATCCTGGAACGAACGGAGGAACGAATAGTGGGTCTGGTATACCTTCACCATTCAATCCAAGCACAAATGGAGGAACGGGTACAGACTCGGGAATGACTTCCCCGTTTAACCCAAGCACAAATGGAGGAACAAGTACAGGAGAAGGATCCGTAAGTCCAAATGGATCCGGAATGCCTTCCCCCTTCAACCCAGGAACCAATGGTGGGGGGACCTCATCATCTGGAGGTGGAATGTCTTCCCCTTTCAAACCTAACTCAGGAGCTACTAATGGTAACGGAAACGGGGCTGGATCCTTTTCTCCCGGATTGCTAGGAGTATCTGGATCTTCATCAGAAAATTCTGGTACAAATCCTCTTTTGCCCCAATTTTTACAAGGAAGCAGTGGAATGGACGCTCATCAAACTATTGCTGGAGGGACAGAACCCGGAGCAGGAAGCGGTGGTTTCACAGCCGGTGGTGCTGGGGGTAGTCTCACTCAAATCAACACTGAACAATCGTACGGTCATCAGGTAGACAATAGTCAATACAATGGACAACAGACAGGCATTGTGGCGACCAATACTAACGGGCAAGCTGGTGGAAATTTCTCTAATCCATTCACGGCATCAGGAAACGGGGCTTTTACTAATGATGGATTCAAACCAAGTCCTTTCATGCAGGCAGCAGGACAAAATGGTGGGAGCGGACCCTTTGCTGGAGCCATGAATTCTAATAACGCGACTTCTGTTGGCCCTTTTGCTTCAGTAGGCGGGAATGTTAACGCAGGATCCTCAGAAAATACGTTCCCAAATCCTTTCCAAACAGCCGGCGGAACGGGTGGTAATGCTGCAGGAAATAATGGAGCGACAGGCTCAACAGGCTTTGGAAGTAATCCTTTCCAAGCTACTGGATTTAGTCAGGGACCTCAGCCTTCAACAGGTGGATCAAATGGCATGATGGTTGGTGGTGCAGGAAATGGAAAACCAGGAACAACTAGCGGAGGAATGAGTCCACAGGGTGGTGGTGTAAATGGTGGAGGAAATAAACCAAGTTCAGGAGGAGGAATGGGAGGAGGGTTCAATCCATTACAAGGAGGAACAGGAGGAAACATGCCTACAGGTCTCGGAGGTGGATCAGGGCCAGGTATGGGTGGTGGTGCTATGGGCAGTGGAGGAAAAGGGCCAATGGGTAACTTCCACACACCCAGTGGATATGGCGGATCAATGGGAGCAGGGGCGATGATGGGTGGAGCTGCTGCTGGTGGTCAAATGATGGGCGGATCATCAGTAGGCGGACAGGGAAGCAAACTAGATGTCCAGTTCGTGATTAAACATTGTCCAGAGACAATGCACTGTATGACCACATGTCCCCAGGGATACAAACTTGGAGGAGAGG